AAACTGAGTTTGGTTGAAAGTAGATGGGATTCTTTCTCCCCACCCCCCACCCCAGCTTTAATGGCTATTCATTCTGCCCATGTGCATTGACTAGCATTTCTTCCTTAATAGCAATTTACATGCTCTGTTTTACTTATTATAAAATTAACTTTACAAACACTTTTATGATATTTTTATTAAAGTTTAAAAATACAAAGAAAAAGAAGGTGAGGAAAATATAACATGTAAAAAGAAAAAGGTGCATAGAAAAATAATATATATATAAAGAAATGACTCCCATTTCATCAAGACAAATACAAAGAATTTCAGTAACTTGTCACTTCCTCTAACATTTCAACAAAGGATCTCTTCTTCCCATATCTCATCTATTATCTATAAACAAGTTATAAAACCCTGTCCTTCAATCCTAATCATTAAGGTTTATCGGAAATAACAAATTTTAACCATACTCAAATAAATCAGTTTCACATTTCTTTTCACAGAGTATGTTATCATTTTCTCTAAAAGTAAAATAAAAAAACCCTTATTCCCATATCTTAACTATAAACAAACGTTAAAGCTCTGTCATTCAGTCCTTGCTGAGAAAAACCTATTAAGAGCTACTAGAAAACCACCATATATGTATTTAACAATCAAATAGGCCAATTTAATATTTCTTTTTGCTTTTAAAAATCTTGATGTTTATCCCCTTTAAACAGTGTCTCAAAAATTGATTTCTTTTCATTTTGTCTTTTCTCAAAACTGATTTATGAGTATAACACATCTCTTTTATAAGTTCAAGAGAAGAAAGTTATCCAAGTAACTCTTGTTATTTGTGTGTTCTATTAGTTAAGACATCAGTCAGCTTTATTAGTAAATCCAATGTAAAATCTTTGTTTTGTAACTTGTCATTTTAAAATTCAAATCCAAAAAAGTTGCATCCTCTTCTATCTCTTCTTTTAAACCCATTTTATAATAGCAGACAATCTTTTTTACCAAAAAGGATTATCAAAAAAGAAACCAAACCAAATCATGGTAATGTATGAACTTTAAAAGTATTCTGAAATAAATAGCAAAAGGGAGATTATAATGTTGATTTTGAAAAGTTAAAAAATATATACATTATCAGAAAAAATACATTTTTTAAAAATAAATGAAAAATAGAAAAAATAAGACTATATATTTCAAACAATAAACAGCTACAATTGTATATATAATTATCTAATACAATGGTAGCAAATTATAGAAATTTGTTCCCAAATATTCTCAAATTTTGCCAAAATTAAAATATTTTATGCTATATTAGTGAATCATTTCTTTTTTAATTGTAATTAATTCCTGTTAGCTTTTAATGTCCAGCCTCCAAAATCTTCTCCTGTTTTTTCTTATCCCCAATATTTTTCAACAGGATAATTTCTTATACTTAGAGAAATCATCATACATTTTAACATGATTTTAAAAACCCATAGGAATGATTCTTACAATTTCAAAATATTTCCAATCCATCTGGCTCCTTAGTCCATGTATAACTTTTAAAAATCAACATTATATTCTCCCTTTTGCTGTTTATTTCAAAATATTTTTTTAAGTTCTTAAAACTTACATGAAACTTCTTTCACTGAATATTGAAAGGGAATCACCCAGTACAATGAAACTTCTCATTCTGAAGGTTTTTGATATTAAAAAAGCAGTTAACAGGCAAGTTCCAGAAGTAATAAAGGAAATGGGGGAATCCAATACTGTTTGAAGGGTTTAAACTGCAGCTTGGGCAAAACTGACGTTCCCTCAGCTCCCAGAGCTCTAAATCCTGCTGGAGACCACTGTTTTAGTTTGCCCATTGGGAGCCTCTGTGTGGAGTGTTTATGGGCAAACCCAGCTCTTCCCCTTTATGCAGAGAGCAAATTTGACACTTTAATCAGTTTTCTGGTTTTTCATTTCACCACAGTTGTCAGCTCTGCTGAAAGCACAGCCATATTCATTTCATAATTACTTTCCTGGAAGTCCATTAACTTTTTATTAAAAAACTTTTTATTAAAAAACTACTTTTGAATTATCCAAAATGTCCTCAAATTCCTGTGTTATATATTAAATGGTCGTAAAAAATGTGATATATCAATTTGATGTGGTCAACTAATCTTTAGTTCAAAATTTTTGAAAGGAGACCTTTTCTTTGTATGGGATCTGAAGGCTTTTAAATTCTTAACTATTTTTTTTAATATAAATACCATGTAGACAATGCAATATACGTTCTCTAACAGTCTATTATGATTTTTGGAGTGTTCATGGAACATGAAGAATTACTTGTTCCCTTGTTTTTTAGGTCAGCACAAAAAGAAAACCAATGACTATCCATTCAGCAATCATTTGAAGTTATGACAGCACTGAATGGAAAAACTTGTGATTGGTCCTCAAAGTTGTGCCCTTCACAGCATCCTGGCAGTCACATTACCATGATCTGGTCACTTAGTAACCAGAACGCAATTATGATGGCCATATCGTCTCATAGTCACTTGATCACCATTTGTGACTTTAATTCCAGGTTTTCAACAAGCAAAGTCAGTGCGGAAGCTGGCAAGAAGTTGTTAACTCATGGTCATGTGACATCACACAGAAGGGCTACATGGGATTTGCTTAACAGCTGCAATTAGACCTACTATCATCCATTGGAATGGTCATGTGATTATTTTTTTTATTTTTCCCCTGCTTTATGACATATCACTTAGTGATAGAATCCTAGTTCCAGTTACAGTTGTTAACCAAGTACTACAAGTCCTGAGCCCATTTATTAAAGTTTTGCTATGGACATATTTAAGGAGAATTCAGGCTTATCATTACATTACACTGAGTGGGTTTTTTTGCCTTGATAAATTTGTAAAAAGGCTTTTGATAGCATGGGTACCAATCTAAAACAAAAGAAAATCTAGAAAATGTGTTCCAAACAAGTTCCAATTACTAACAAAGTTCTTACTCTTTCTAGAACAGGCTATGCCATGCTTTCTAAAATTATAGTGAATAAATGTAAATGATATATAAATATAACCATGAGAACTGTCTCATCTGATGTTATTAATTTTTAATTGCATGCAAACATTTTGCACCCTTTGAAAAATGTGAATTATCCCCTGCTGTTATGTGAAAAAACATCATCTTCCCTCAAAATCAAGTCAAACTTTCTCTCAAGGCTGAAAGATTATAATTCTTTTCTACTTTTTCACTTGCTGACAATATTCTAGAATACACGCTAAAAACTTTAGATATGTGCATTAAGGAGGTTAGGACTTCTTCTTTTGCCTACAGTTAACATTGAATGGCTAATTAGATGTGGACATGCTAAGAGGCTTAATCAGGCTTGGAATAGTTCCTTCATCTTTCTGATATAGGTTCCTAATTTTTTTAAATCAAATTTACTCCTTCACCATTTCTTGTATAATCCATTGTTAAGATTTTATTCTATTTCTAGCTACAACATTAAAATTGATCATATACTTGTGGCCGACCTCTTATATAGGCAATCTCTACAATGACTGTATTTTAAATCCCTAGATAAATTCCCTCTTCCCATAAAATCAGAACATTATCTCTGTGTATTATGCAAAGACACAGCTCCCCCCCCCCAAAAAAAGCTGTAATACTGGGAAAGGTAGAAAGAGGTGACCCACAACAAGGTTGATAGACTCAGTTACAATGGTGATGAGTATGCATTTGGGAGACTTAAAATAGCAATAGCAATAGCAGTTAGACTTATATACCGCTTCATAGGGCTTTCAGCCCTCTCTAAGCGGTTTACAGAGTCAGCATATTGCCCACACAGTCTGGGTCCTCATTTCACCCACCTCGGAAGGATGGAAGGCTGAGTCAACCTTGAGCCAGTGAGATTTGAACCGCTGAACTGCAGATAACAGTCAGCTGAAGTGGCCTGCAGTACTGCACCCTAACCACTGCACCACCTCACAGTGTTAAGGATTGATTGCTAACATAAAATCTGTTTATGTGGGAAACCTTTTAGTGAAGTGCTAGGTGGCTCTGAAGGTGTGGAAACAGCATTATGGTGGAGATTACTGACCAGAAGGTGGACCTAGCTGACAAAATCTCTTCAGAGAAAGGAGAGATTGTGAGATCACTCAGATGTATTCTGGACAGTTGCTCCTCGCAATAAGACTGCAGGCTAAGGTTTTTGTGGATGAATGGTGAGCGAGTGGCGTGGAGTTGAGAGATTCAAATTAAGTTCATAATGTATCCTATATGGATATATAGACATGAAGCTTGGTCATGCCTAATTTCATAATCACCTTTCATATTAGCTAACCCGTTTTTTAAATATTAAGAACTTTTCAAATAGTTTTATTACATTCACTGGGTGAATTTCCTTCAATCCTTAAGGAAGACAAGTGGAAAATAGGAGTAAGAGTGTTCTCAAGCAGCAAGACACAAGGCATTTACTAGGTTGAAATAGGAAGCTTGAATTGCTTAGTAAAAGGCTCCGATACATAGAAGTGAAAATTAGGACTTTCTTTAGGTGGGTTATCTCTGTTTGCACATTTCTTCATTTATATAAAAGGGAGAATGCAGCCGTGCGAGCGATAGTGGGTGTACCTAGGTACACCCACGTTACACCTATCCTCCGCGAGCTGCACTGGCTTCCAATTGGTCTCCGGACACGCTTCAAGGTGCTAGTCGTTACTTTTAAAGCCCTACATGGTATAGGACCTGGCTACCTGAGAGACCGCCTCTTGTCATTTACCTCCCAGAGATCCATAAGATCTCACAGACTATGCCTCCTCCAGATTCCATCTGCCGGTCAATGTCGGCTGGCGACTCCCCAGGGGAGGGCCTTTTCTGTAGCTGCTCCGGCCCTTTGGAACGATCTTCCCGTGGAGATCTGGACCCTTACTACCCTTCCGGGCTTCCGCAAAGAGACCAAGACCTGGCTGTTCTGGCAGGCCTGGGGCTGTTGATTTATCCAGCCCCATCCTAAGTTATGAATGTTGTGGAATTTTAATGTCTTTTTTTTTTTGTTTTTGTATCCCCCTTCCTTTTTTACCTGTAAGCCGCCCTCAGTCTCTTGAGAGTGAGCAGCATACAAACCCAATAAATGAATGATGATGAATGATTGCTTAGTAAAAGGCTCCGATACACAGAAGTGAAAATTAGGACTTTCTTTAGGTGGGTTATCTCTCTTTGCACATTTCTTCATTTATATAAAAGGGAGTTTGAGATTTAAAATGCAGTATGGGAGACTGTGAAGCTGATTGCTTTACCCTTCCTTAACCAAGTGGAAAGATTTAGGAGGCAGTCTAGTATCACTTGTAATTGTTTTCAGGCTAAAATTATCTAAGACATGAATCCCCAACCCCTGGCCATGGCTCACAATTGGGCTGTAGCTTATTTGCAACTGAGTCGCATGAGCGGTAGGCTGGTACACATGCATGTGCACAGCTCAATTTAGCAAATCAAGTCACCAGTATGTGTACACCAGCCCATTGCTCACAGTTTCCCTCTTTCTCCGCCCCACCTCCCAGCCGTGCCATCAAGCCACAAAGGTTGGGGACCTCTGATCTAAGGTTAAGCTGTTTCTAATCAGCCAAGAATGGAAAGTAACACTCATAACACCGATCCCTGCATTCAAGTGCAGAAAATGAATGGACAGAAAGAGAGATACACACACTTATTCTAATGTAGTTCACATGGAACAGCCAAACTCATATTTAATTGCATAAAGAAGTATTTTGTGCAGGAAATGTATGTCCACAAGGTAATAGATAATAATAAATGATTACATCACAGGGAAAAAACCTTTCACATACTTTGCAATAAGTTTTTAAATTAGTGTAATGTTCTTTAGTTATTTTCTATTCCCCAATATTCACATCAATAAAAGTTTTTGTTTTCATGAATTACATATTGCCCATCAATAATAAGCAACTAGAAAATTCCTTTATACATATGCATATCAAAACCACCCGACTATTCAAGAAACATGTTTAGGGTTAGCTTTCCCTGTAGTTTGGTATTCTATCAAGCAGACTGTATACTTAGGCAAGAGCCATTTACAGATCTCTTAACCAACAAATATACAATCCAAAATCAGTTTTCATGAATAGATGGAATATATGTCCCCCTTCGCCACATTTTAATGCAAATATACTGGTTAATATCTTTCCATTACAGTAGTGAAATAAAATCTGGGGAATAATACCAATTCAAGAGAAACGTTCCCCCCCCCCCAAGGTTACAAATTAATATTTCTTACAAAGCTATTTATTATATAATAACAATAGCTTAAACGTCCATATAGTCAATAATATAGAAAATGGTTTGCATATAACAGGCCACTTAACCTTCTGGAGAAAAGACTAATTAATTAAAGAAAAAATAAAACCTGCCTGCAATGTGTTTCCATTGACTCCTATAAAAATTTAGGATAATGTAAACCTAAAGTATTACAAGGTGCACAGAAGGTATTCATAACCTGTCATCGGAAGCAATGTGTTTAAAACTGATTTTGCTTACAAAACATATGCAAGTTGTTCATGAGGCTAATAATTACAAATCAAGAGTAAAGTTTTTATAAAAATTAGATATGGAATTAGTTATAAATCTGGCAGTAATTTTAGATATAGGATTTTTTTTCCGAAACCTGGCAGTGGAATGATAAAAGTACCAAGAAATCCTTTAAATTTTTGGAGATCCAGTAAGACATTTGCGTGTTGCATGTAACTCATTTACTTCCAGCAAGTTCTGGTTAACTTATAATATCTGGTTATTTGTAGCAGCAATGGATAAAATAAATGAATTTGCTTTACTCTGCACGTCCACTGATATGTATAAAATGGAACTTTAAAGTGAACATCCTTTTTGGGTTAAAAAGATCAGTTATTTGGTTTCTTAATATTAATTAGCATGAATTAAATTACATTTAACATGTCTATTCCTTTGTATGTGCCTGTCATGTACCATTCCACATTCATGCTATTGGTGGCTTTTCTCATCTATAAAGCTGGAGCAAAAGCTAAGTTTCAAACTTTCACTGTAGTTCTGTACAACGGAAAGAATATTTTCTCTGCTAAATCTCTCTGTACAGTATTTACACATTTCTCATTAAGCTTACCAAATAAATAAAAAATACTACCCAAAAGAAAATAAGCAGAAAATTAGAAAGAGAAGAATTTCTACTCAGATGATGTGACTCCTTGTTCAGATGCTGATCTGTCCAGCACAGGGAATTGACTAACTAAGGTTGTTTTTCTTCCTCTTACTTGGGCTGTGAGAAAGCTCTTGTTTCAATTCTTGATATTGCACCTGTTTAAACACAGAATTCAGACATCAATTTCAACTGAGCAAACCGAAGGTTTTTTTTAAAATACAACTACACCATGGGGCTAGAAATATTTAGGGAAGCAACCAATATTGTCCAGACAAACTTTAACATGGGCACTGTTCCTAAAATGCAAACCATGGCAAATTTCCAGGCCAAGGGGAAGGAGGAAAATAAAAATAACAAATAACACAATGAGTATGTTGGAAAGGAGATCATGTCAATAAATATTTCAGTAAAGCCTTCTCCTACCCTACTTTCCGTAAGGAATAACCTTTTCAAAGCCAAATGACATTTTTTTTAAAAGCCAGAAATTTTTTTAAATGACATTTTAAAGTAGGACAATGTAGAGCTCTATTACAAAGGCAAGCTACAATTACAACTGTACAATCAAGGAACAAATAGACACTCGTCAGTAGAAATATTTAGCGTAGTATTCTTTGAGGAATATGCAGCAGTTTTCAGCAAACGTAAATGCCTCCATCAAATGAGGACCTTTCAAAGTGCAAAGGATTGCCATCCTTGCATGACACGCTTCATATTTCAGTGCACTGAGTGAAATGATTTGCTGTTTTACAGTGGTGTTTTCTTCTTTCATCAACTTAGATCCTTGAAGCTATTGCTTTAAAGCACGCAAAAATTGATGTAATATAACTTAAACTGGTTGATCATGAACTCACAATTTAACTAGAAAATTAACCTTCAAAAAATAATATATCATCAAGTTTAATATCAAAGTTAAATACAGACCATTTGCACATCTGAAGGGACTCTGGAAAGAAAATCAAGTAGTTCGTTGTTATCAATCGCATATGGACTTCGGAGTTTCTTTGTAAATTTGTTGATGCCTGAACAAAGCAACAATTCACATAGATGAGTACTGATATTTTAATGTCATTGTAAAATTAATTGCATAGGCATGCTGGATTAGCTGTACAGCCAATCTTGATTAGTGCTTCATACCTTTTTCCTTGGAAACAGGAACTCCTGGTTTTAACGTAATCTCTATCAGCAAGAAAATAATTTTACTTGGCAGAAAGCCATAGATGAGTAGTGCCATACTGGGCTTTTGAATGCCAAAATGATAACCGCTAATGCAGACTCAATATATTCAAAAGCATGAATGCCAATGTACCAATATGCCTATTATTTTTTTAATACTGACTCAACATTTGTATTTATAAAAAGTGCATGTTAAAAAAATATCTATGAGGAAGAAGAGGAACAGCAACCTTATTCAATTTTATTGGTATAAACTTCCCTCTGATACATTCAGAGCATCACTGAGAATTTAGAAAAACAGGGCACTCTCCATTCTCTATCAGATATTCACTACAGATAATATATCTCATAAATTTAAAGCAATTTGTTCTATGTTCTACAGAGGGTTCTGGTGGGTAAAGTCTCTACTTACCCCAGACAAGGACAATGTATCTCAGTGGAATGAAATACAGGATGACTGTAAACACACACAGAGCAACAATGGCCAGCCAGCTTAAGAATGGAATAGTCCAGTTGATTATACTGAATGAAAAATTAATAGATCAGAAATACAATAGTTCACAGAAAGAAATAATTAAAAAAAACCCAAAGCAACAGCAGGTAGAATATAGATCTTTAAATGGAACAAGATTGATCTTCAGTGAACCAACAATGAATACACATGAGTGTAGAATATGGCATGTGTTGGTGCTTTGGACCCAATCCCTAAAAAGCAATTTTGGAGCACATATTGTAGAAACTAAACTTCAAACATTTTTTTCTAAAATTTTCTCCAAATTTCTTCCCCAATGTTGTGCCTCTTGGCTTAGCTTGATTTGAAAGGGAAGTACACTCATCCTTCCCATAGTATTGCCTGGTTGGTAATCTGGCAGTGATGGTGAAACCAGGGTACTTTTAATTAAATAATGTCATCTATTGGGATCCTGGGTGCTTAACCTCTTCTCTAATAGTGCCAAGCCCACTAGATCTGCATGGATTCTACTCTATGGTATTTCAAAGGGCCTTGAAGACCCAGCTTTCCTCTGGCCTTTAGGACAGTGAATAAAGATCCCTTAGATTCTTTTTTCAATTTTTGAAATCTTTATTCCTTATTTTGGTTTCTGAGTATATTCTGTTTTAATGTTTGTATTTCCGAGTAACTCACAGTCTTTGGGGATCAGGTGACATACAAATTGAATAATAAATAAAATAAAACATTTTAAAAGATGAAGGTTAAACAATTATCTCTAAGATTATCTATCCTAGACTTTTTCTCATATTTGATTGTCAGCACAGGCTCTTAATAAAAGAAGGGATTACATCTCTCTACTATAATGTAGGTTTATGTCTTTTCTTTCTGTTCAACATTAGATGTCATATTCTTTTAGAATCCTGGTCCAAGTGATAGAACTTTAATGATAAAGTAAGGATGATGTGATTTTTAAAGTAACATTTTTGTCCTTTGTCCAGAACATTTTGTAATTGGAATAGGAATACACATACAGTATATGAACATAATCTGAGAAAAGCTAAGCAACCATTTGTCAATATTTACTTTTTAATCCTTTCTCCAAGAGAGGCCACCTCATCAAGGATGTTCTGAAAACTTATGCACACTTCCTGAATGGCATAGAGTTTATTGATAAACCCTTTCTTCTCACTGTCCTGAGGATTAAAAGAAAGACAATCAATCAACAATTATTGATAAATTTATTATAGTTTTCCCCAGTAAAGCATTAAAATATATTTTTAAATGCACACATTAAGAAATCTTCTATTTTTCTCTGCTACAGTACTCTCTTAAGTACAAATGAAAACATTAGCCTGAAAAACAGGTGATGCTGTTCTATCAAATCTAATAATTATAATAGCACGTCTTTAATGTGACTATTAAAGCAGTGGAATCATTTTTCAAGCTTGTATACTTGAACAAGTAATTGAGAGGAGCTAAGGGTGTCATTAAATCAGGTCTTAGGTTCTTCTAAATCATTTTCAAAATGTTTGCAGCTATACTAAATATATTACTGGTAACAGTAAGTATATTTCAAATAAAATGACAAGGAGTATGAGAAATTATGTTCTACACCAACGTCTTTAAAATCCCTCCTACTACTGAACATCTCATTAAAAATAGCCTTGCCTGCTTGTTCTAAGTAAAAGAGTTAACAATGGTAGTTAAGGTGTTAACAATACTGGTTGAGAAACAAGCTGCTATAAATTCCTTAAGGACAGAATCACAAAAAAGGACTACCGTAGTTATATTCATCACAATTGTTTTTATATGGATTATATAGCCAATTTGGTATAGTGGTTAAAGTTACAGGGTAGAAATTAGTAGACTGTGAGTTTTAGTCCCACCTTAGGCGTGAAAAATCAGCTGGGTGATTTTGGCCCAGTCATTCTCTCTCAGCCCAATTCATCTCACAGGCTCATTGTTGTGGGGAAAATAGGAGGAAGAAGGAATATCAGATACTGTATGCTGGCTGCCTTGAATTATAGATAAAAATAATTAAGATGGGATATAAAAAAATCTAAAAACAAAATGCAGCCATACTTTTTGACAATTATGATAAAATTCCATCTTACAGCAGTTTTAAATGCTGTAAGACATGCTGCCTTCCTATATAAAGTACAGGTGGTCTTTGAGTTATGACAAAAATTAGGACTTGAATAGTCCCAAGCAGGCTATCAGGTAGATTAGTGGCTACTGCCAGATGAAGGAGGGCACAAAAGGGACGTGAGAATGCAAAGGAGGCCTGGGAAGCTTCTGTGAGAGAGATTGGCAAACATCAGGAAGGATGCGTGAGGGTGCACAGCAAGGTGTGGGGAGGGTGAGAGAAAATGCAAAAGAGGAATGGCAAAGGATGGGGAGGCTAACAAGTCACCAGTGTGGGGCGCTGGGAATGGGTATGTAGGTAAGGGGAACTTATTTGTGACTTTCTCTGCCAGTTTCCTCATTACCTTTCTGAGGAAGCCAGCAGGGAAGTTACAAATAACAATCACATGAACACAGAATGCTGCAACCAGTCATAAGTACATGCTAGTGCAATGGTAGTCAACCTGGTCCCTACCGCCCACTAGTGGGCGTTCCAGCTTTCATGGTGGGTGGTAGGCGTTTTGTCCAATACTGAAGCACTTTCCTTTTTTTAATTTAATTGACTTTAAAAAAAAATCATAGCATTATTTAAAAACATTTTCATTAGGTTTTCATAAAATGACAATTACTGTGGAACTGGTGGGCGGTTAGAAAATTTTACTACTAACAGAGATACAAATGTGGGCAGTAGGTATAAAAAGGTTGACTACCCCTGTGCTAGTGGGACAGCTTGAATTCTGAGGACAGGTTGTAACCACCATTTGCTCAGGACCATCATAACTCTAAACAGTCGATGAATAAATGGTTGTAAGTTGAGGACTATATTGTTCTTTAAGAAAGTAACAGTTTAACAAAAGTATCTCTAATAAATCCTAAAATATGGCTAACATACATATGACAATTATTTAAACAATTGCTAAGATTTTATCAGTGTTTATTTCAGAGGGCAAATATTCATAGATGGTACCTATGATTTTATAATAAAGGCAGGATTGCTCAAACTATCATATGAGCTGCAAACATCTGGACAACTCCAAATAGTCTGCATTTTTCACAGCCTAGATGCACAGTGGTAGTCCTAGGTATACACAGCGTTCTATTTGAACTAGCTGTGTTGCTGCAACAGTATTCTTTTCAGTAAATAAGGAGGGCCATGAAACTATCATTCTGTTTAAGAATTGCTTAAAAAAACCCAATAATTCAGCCTCAAGTCATAACTGTTTTCTGTTCTTACTTATAATTCTTCAATTTAGATTCCTAGATCGAAGCATATCTTGATTCACCATCAGTTCTTGTATGGAAAGAATGCTATCAGAATAACAAAACGCATTCCCTTTTCTTCTATCTCTAGAGCTCAAGAGATTTTCTATGGAAGATCCTGAAGCTATTTTTCTTTACAAATATTTTAACAAGATCAACTTGTACCTTCTTGAATACACATCTGTTCTACATTTTCTCTCTAAATGGAAAGGGCCACTATTCTCCTCAGACCTATTGCATTCTCCACTTTGGAGCGCAAAGAAAATTTGTTGACATATTCGAAAGCAGGCATAGACAAAACAGCACTGGAAAAAGGAGGCAGACAGAAGGATAAAGGTTCAGCTTTTCCTAAACTAATTCCACATGCCCCATGAAACATTAGCTGTTTTTTATTTCCTGTTCTAAAGATTCACAGAGAAAATATTCCAGGCTAGTTAAAAGCTGCACTTTTTCCCAGCAAGGTGCTGTGTTAGCACAGAACATATGGGCCAGTTTCAGCAAACCGAAAGTGCCTAATATTCCATTGTCAAATATTTTTGGTATTTTCTCTCAAAACAAAGATGGACTGTTATAGGAATCAATTTTGTCATCGGAATGGTTACAAGGGCAGAGATGGGGCAGATAGGCAATGGGGCAAGATGCAGCACATGCTATGACTGTAACTGAAGGTGGACTGAAGCTACCAAATTTGGATCATGACTGTGGGGTGCTGCAACAAAGGATGCCCAGTTGTAACTATCATTCATTCAGCACAATTGGAACTTCTAACAAAAGTTTGTTAAGTGAGGACCACCAGTACTAAAAGAAAAGTTTTGTGTTTAATGTATTGAAAAAAGCTTTAAAAAGCATTTCACTATTTTCTTTGAAGAACCTGAAAAATAGTCAGGTCTGAGTTGAAACTAGGAGGTTATGCTGACCCTGTCAGATTTAGATTTAAACAACTACATGTTAAACAAATAAAAGTTTAATATAAGAGGGTTTTTCCTTGGAAAAGTATCACAATTAATAACAATTCTAAATTCCTAATAAACCCAAATTATTGTTAGTCATGTGTATTCTTTGAGGCAAAAAGAGAAGAACAATCTTAACATTTTCAATTGCCACAAAATACATTTACAAGGTATAAAAGTGCATTCTAATAATAAAATAAGCTAATAGAGTGACTACAACTCTTCTTCTCTTGTATTTTATCAGAATAGGACAATCCTTGCTGGCAACATAGATCATTAGGAGAAAATAAAATTCCAAATATCATGAAAACATTCCAGAATATTTTGAATTTTACACTTTAATAATCTCAGTTAATATTATATGCTTTTCACCAGAACTGCATGAAACATAAAAAACTTAATCCATTATGAAGAAACAAAAAATGCTAAATTTCATAGAAATCAGTGCAGAATTTTCAAGTTAGGTAATCTAGGAAAGGTAACAGCCCTTTTAAAAGAAATAACCAAATAAATTAACCTATAATTGGAAGTTTTTTGTGGATGTTTTGCAAAAGGCAGAGAAAAGTCAAATTTTGACATATAAATTTGATGATTATCAAAATTTAAAAAGAAAAAAATTATTTCCCCTTTCTTTTGGAGAGGGGGAAGAATGAACATTATATTATAGTCTTAAACTAAGAATTGGATGTAAGTGTACTTTATATCCTTGAAAGTAGTAGTCAGAGGTTATTTTTGTATATCTATTTTCCTTTCTTTTTTTAATAGTTTACATTCCATCCTTATTCTCTTCACTCTTTGTTTTCTCTTGATTGTTAGTTTATGTTGCTTTTTTATATGTTCAAGTAATAAAATTATGAAGACAACAAGAAGCTTTTTTTTTAAAGAAATGATGACTGGTAGGCTTATAATGAAAACAGAAAACAGAATTGCAATCAGAAGGGCATATCTGTCACTGGCTCACATACCTACAATTAAACTGAAAGTTTAATTTAGACAAGAAATATTATGGGTTTGAATCTGTAAAAAAATGAATCTGAAATTGTATTGTGTGCCAATGATGAACATGTTATTGCAAAATGTTTTTGAAATTGAACTGGAAAATGAGTATGTGAAATACTGTATGATTCAATGGACAAAGAATTTTGTATATGCCGGTAATGCTTGAGCAATGTGGACAAATGGTTTGACACTGAACTATAATCCAAAAGAAAACTTTTACAAAATGATGCATCATTGGTACGAAATGGCTGACAAATTGTTAAAGATATATAAAGGTATCTCAAATGTATGTTGGAAATGTAATTGTAAAGAAAAAACTTTTTATCCTCTTTGACAGACTTGTGATAAAGCAAGAAATATTGGCTCCAGATTATATTTTAATCCAGAATAGTTTTACAATGAATATAAAATTGAAATCAGAAGCTTTGTTTTATATATTACTGGATAAGAGCTTGAAAAAAAAAGGATTATTTTTTTACTGTATGCAGTTAAATGGAAAGATCACCACTATGCAACAATGGATGGAAAAATAGATGGAGCTAGCAAAATTAATTGTTTTACTTAGAGAAAAGAATGTATCTACCAGTAGTTGTATTTCTACTGGATACTCCTTCTTCTGCTTCTGGCAAAAAATATATGAAATTTTGACTTGGGGTTTTGCTGATCAGAGTACTGTGTTGTGATAGAAATGGCTAGTATTTAGTATATAAAAGTAAAATGTTGAGGCTGTAATTCTATTTTGTATTTTGCTGCGCTGAAAAAAGTTGGAAGTCAATGCTTTGTTTCTTTCTCCTTCGTCACACACTTCCTTTTCTCCCTTTCCTCTCCCTCACTTCCCTATTATCTTTATTTTATATTAT